TAAATAAATAAATATACAAATGAAACCAAATTCCCCATTTACTAATCGCCTATGACGTCACACACCGTTGAAGCCCCACCCCCCCTTGCTCCACCATCTCCGCACCGCCCGCGTCTAACACCGTAACCGTTGCTATGCATTGCAGTCGTACGTCTTCTGCACGCTCGCCATCACAGACGTCGGCTACACGATGGTCTGCTACGGAATCACTGCCGTCGTCTCCGTGGTAACCATCAGTCACGTGACGAAGCACATCAACCGGCTGGCGATCATGGGCGCCGGCCTCATCTTCCACGTGTGTCTCTTCTGCGTCCTGTATCTATGGAAACCGGCAGACGATGATCAGCCGGTGTTCTACGTCATGACGGCCGGCTGGGCGCTGTGTGACATCATCTGGACATCGCAGATATACAGTGAGTTCATGCGACGGGGCGTGTCTTTTTGTGTGTGCGTTTTTTTTTGGGGGGGAGCGTGTGTGTGTTAGTGCGCGCTGCCGTTTCGAGCTTATTTCGTGGTTTGATTCCTTTCTTGCTGCTTGCTGGGTCTTGATGCTTTTCTTGTTGCTTGCGCTGAGAGGGTCTATGTCCCCCGGGGTACTGCCGGAACGTACCCTGGGTACAGTCCGGTATACCGGAACGTACCCTGGTGGTTGGTACTATCTAATATGCCGGACCGTACCTCGCCTACTCCACTAACGAGTCTAGGGAGTCGCCTACGCCTACGCCTACTCCCTAACCCTAACCCTAACCCTAACTTTAACCCTAACCCTAACCCTAATCCTAATCCTAACCATATCAAATAGTGACCAGGGTACGTTCCGGCAGTACCCTGGGGGACAAAGACCCTATGAGCGTTGCTTGCTGGGTCTTGATTCCTTTCTTGCTGCTTGCTGGGTCTTGATGCTTTTCTTGTTGCTTGCTGGGTCCTGATGCTTTTCTTGTTGCTTGCTGTGTCTTGATGCTTTGCTTGTTGCTTGCTGGGTCCTGATGCTTTTTTTGTTGCTTGCTGTGTCTTGATTCCTTTCTTGTTGCTTGCTTGGTCTTGATACTTTTCTTGTTGCTTGCTGGGTCTTGATGCTTTTCTTGTTGCTTGATGAGTCTTGATTCCTTTCTTGTTGCTTGCTTGGTCTTGATACTTTTCTTGTTCGTCTTGTTTGTCTCGTTTCGTCTCGTCTTGTAGTGTAGTAACTGTTGTTGTTGCTACGTTTGCTGTTGCTGCTGTTGTTGTTGTTGTGCTGTTTTTGTTGTTGTTGCTACGTTTGTTGTTGCTGTTGTTGTTGTTGTTGTTGCTGTTGTTGTTGTTGCTACGTTTGTTGTTGCTGTTGTTGTTGTTGTTGTTGCTACGTTTGTTGTTGTTGTTGTTGTTGTTGTTGTTGCTACGTTTGTTGTTGCTGTTGTTGTTGTTGTTGTTTTTGTTGCTACGTTTGTTGTTGCTGCTGTTGTTGTTGTTGTTGCTACGTTTGTTGTTGCTGTTGTTGTTGTTGTTGCTACGTTTGTTGTTGCTGCTGTTGTTGTTGTTGTTGCTACGTTTGTTGTTGCTGTTGTTGTTGTTGTTGTTGCTACGTTTGTTGTTGCTGCTGTTGTTGGTGTTGTTGCTGTTGTTGTTGTTGCTACGTTTGTTGTTGCTGCTGTTGTTGTTGTTGTTGTTGTTGTTGTTGCTACTGTTGTTGTTGTTGCTACTGTTGTTGTTGTTGCTACTGTTGTTGTTGTTGCTGCTGTTGTTGTCGTTTCACCCATCTTTACACCTACACGCCCTTATCACCTGTCTTCGTCCTGCATTGCAGATCTGATAGCGCTGCTGTGCGGGGACTGCTACGAACACGCGTACAATGCCTACTACATGATACAGGCTGCAGGCCTGTCGGTGGCTTTCGGCTACAGTCCTTTCCTCTGCACGGAGACAAAGGTGTTTGTCGTCGGTGGCACCCTGGCGGTCGGTCTCGTCATCTACAGCATCATCGAGCTGCGAATTCAGAAGCTGAAGAAGGAACTGATATCGTCGTTTTGATTGATTTTTTTGGCGTTCGTTTGTTGTTGTTGGTGATTTTGTTTTTTTGGTCTTAGGTGTCTCCGTTGTCGCTCTGTGTTGTTGATGTCTCACGCGCGGTCGTTTTTCGGCTGTTGTTCCTCTTCTGAGGGATTTTATTTGTCGTCTGTATCTCTGTGCTTCATGCCGTCATGATTCATCGCCTTATTTGTCTCATGTTCGTGATTTATTGATTTGAGATTGAGATTTTTTCTCCCCTGCTCCGCAGTTGCTTTTTTCTTTTTGTATTTATACCTCCTCGCTTTATTCTTTTGATGCTCTCTCTATTTCCCTCTTATTTCTCTCTCTCTCTCTCTCTCTCTCTCT